ACATTAATGAGAAATAAAATTAACTTTTTTGATTTTAGCAAATGGCTTCAATGAAACAGAGTGAAAAATTTAAAGGGGTCTGAATACTTTCAGTACCCACTGTAGTTTGAATTGAATCAGGCTAATCCTATTCTGGACATAGTGGCCAGTACCTGTTCTTCCTCTCTCATCTCCATCACCTTCTATCTGCCTGTTTTTTCTGTCACCTCATCTTGTGCTGGATCTCTCCCTTCCCAATGCTGAGCTTTGATTGAAAGTTGTTTCATATCTGTCAGTCTCAGTGAAGAAAGTAAACACATAGGCTATATAGTGGTCACTGGCTAATGTTTAATGTGGTGTGACCACACAGAGGTCAGATGGTGTCTGTCTGGGGATGAATGGCATTGAATTACAAGCGGTCCACTAGTTAATATATAAATAATGAATAGATCTATCCATCCATCCATCCATTTTCCTCCGCTTATCCGGGGTCAGGTCGGTGGCAGCAGGCCAAGCAGGCTGACCCAGAGTTCCCTCTCCCCCGCAACATTTTCCAGCTCATACTGGGGGATCCCGAGGCGTTCCCAGGCCAGCTGGGAGATATAATCCCTCCAGCGTGTTCTGGGTCTTCCCCGGGGTCTCCTCCCAGTTGGACGTGCCCGGAAAACCTCCAATGGGAGGCGTCCAGGAGGCATCCTAATTAGATGCCCGAACCACCTCAGCTGACTCCTTTCGACGCGAAGGAGTAGCAGCTCGACTCCAAGTTCCCTCCTGATGACCGAGCTCCTTACCCTAGCTCTAAGGCTGAGCCCGGCCACCCTACGGAGGAAACTCATTTCGGCCGCATGTAGCCACGACCTTATCCTTTTCGGTCACGACCCAGAGTTTGTGACCATAGGTGAGGGTAGGAACGTAGACCGACCAGTAAATGGAGCGCTTCACCAAGACGGTCCAGTGCAACGCCTGCTGCTGCAGCCGCACCGATCCGCCTGTCGATCTCCCGCTTCATCTTACCCTCACTCGTGAACAAGACCCCGGGATACTTGAACTCCTTCGCTTGCGGTAGGCACTCCGTCCCCACCTGGAGGGAGCAATCCACCGGTTTCCGGCAGAACATCATGGCCTCAGATTTGGAGGTGCTAACTCTCATCCTCGCCGCTTCACAGTCGGCTGCAAACTGCCCCAGTGAATGCTGGAGCTCACGATCTGAGGAGGCCAACAGGACCACATCATCTGCAAACAGCAGAGAGGCGATCCCAAGACCTATGAAAGCAAATCACTGTCAAAATCCGAGAGCGCAAATGAGATCCATGCACGCGCGAAAATCAAACAGCCGCGCGCGTATTTTACTTTGACGAGCGCTTTTATGTCACTCTGTGAGCGAAAGTCGCTCGCGAAGCTTAATCCTGCTCGCTCGCGAAATTTTAACCTGCTCGCTCGCGAGTCTTTTTCCTGCTCGCTCGCGAGTAGTTTTTCTTTTTGACAGTAAGTGGGCGGACCCAGTCTCCATTGTATCTCTCCATCTAATTGGTTACAATCCTCATCTTTGGATAAACATCTGATCCAACTCACCACCAGGTGGTGATCAGTTGACAGCTCTGCTCCTAGTGTCCAAGACATATGGCCACAGATCAGATGATACGATTACAAAGTCGATCATAGATCTCCGGCCTAAGGTGTTCTGGTACCAGGTACACTTATGAGCCACCTTATGTTCGAACATGGTGTTCGTTATGGCCAAACCATGGCACGCACAGAAGTCCAATAACGAGACACCGCTCGGGTTCAGATCGGGCAAGTCGTTCCTCCCAATCACCCCCCGCCAGGTTTCTCCATCATTGCCCACGTGAGCATTGAAGTCCCCCAGGAGAACTATGGAGTCAGCAGGCGGCGTCCTTTCCAGGACCCCTCCCACCGACTCCAAGAAGGCCGGATACTCCGAACTACTGTTTGGTGCATAAGGACAAACAACAGTCGGAGCCTTGCTCCCAGCAACCCGTAGGCGCATGGAGGCGACCCTCTCATTCTCCGGGGAGAACTCCAACACAGCGGCGCTCAGCCCGGGGCTCGTGAGTATCCCCACTCCCCACCCGGCGCCTCTCACCCTGGGCAACTCCAGAAAAGGACAAAGTCCAACCCCTCTCCAGGAGCTTGGTTCCAGAGCCAGTGCTGTGTGTGGACGTGAGTCCAACTATATCTAGCTGGTATCGCTCCACCTCCTGCACCAGCTCTGGCTCTTTCCCCGCTAGGTGACATGGACGTTCCACGTCCCTAGAGCTAGTCCATGCTGCCGGCGATCGGCTCGCCCATGCCTCCGGCCTGGACCACCGCCCGGTCTGCGATGCTTGTCCCTGCGGGTGGTGGGTCCACAGGGTGGCTGCTCCATGTTGTTTCTTCGGGCTGAGCCCAGCCGGGCCCCATAGGTGAAGGCCCGGCCACCAGACGCTTGCCGACGAGCTCCCCTCCTGGGTCTGGCTCCGGGAGGGTGCCCCGGTTTCCCTGGTCCGGGCGAGGTGGCTGAAGACCGTGGGCTGCTTATCATCAGGGTTATTTTTTCAGAAACTTATTTTGTGACTGTGTCCGTATGTTTGAATTTGTTTTTGAAATAAAACTTTAAATGAGCAGGGATGACAGCTAAGCACACAATAAACAGTTGTGATGGTGTGCAGGTTTATGACAATAAGCTGCAATGAACAATCTAACCTGCATTGTTGATGAGGATGTCCAGTCTGGGTTCAGACTTCAGGAAGGTTTCAGCAAAGCTACGAACAGACTTGAGACTCCCCAGATCCAACGGCATGAACACCACCTGATTACTGCCACTCTCCTGTAGGAGTGATCAAGCAGTATTTCCACTCAATTAGAAGTTAAATATAAAATAAAGATGTTTGGAATACACTTGTTATTATCATCATCTCCGTCAAGAGGATCACGCGATCGGTCGTGTGTGGGCCTGTGTGGGGCATCTGTGAGTGAGTGAGCACTTCTGTGTCTGTCCACAGACAATCTCGCTTTTTACTGCAGCAAACAGCATAACATTTTGGGTAGCCAGTTATGGTTATGTGCTCAAGGACCTCTCGTGGTTACAGTGACTCACACTTTCTCAAAACACCTTCTATTGCCTCAATATATCATTATAAGCAACTATAAGCTTACATGACATGGGGTGCCCACAAGCTTGTCAACAAGGCATTTATGACAGAGAGCGCTCTCTTGGAGGAAGAAACAGAGCATTATAGATTTCTACTCACCTTCTTGACTTCCTCAAGGGCAGCCTCTCCTCTCTGCTTACTGCGACAGGCCAGAATCACTCTGGCTCCTCTTTTGGCCAGATCTATGGCAGTAGTTTTCCCAATGCCTGTGTTGCTGCCTGGAGATGAAAAGTGAGAGACACATGTGATCCATGTTTTATTTACAAGTCCAACAAAGAGATATTGCTTCTTTCAATTGATGCGCTTGTATATGGACTACACCTAATCCTGATGCAAGGAGGATGATCCTTTTTTCATGATGGATGTTATGTTCATTTAAATTAATTATGTACTGTAACTAATAGCCCACCTGATAGATAAATGCCATGAGACTTTATGGGATCACTCAGAGTGGATGTCGACTAAATGTGGTTGCAATTGCACAATGAATTTCAGAGATATGGCAGTCTATGTAAAGTAGGACACACCCACAATAATAAGACAACCAATTGCAGGAAAAGTGTGTGGCGTATCAAAAAAACTACAAAAACAATCTATAACCATGTATTCTATTCGGTGAATGGATAATGGATAAATCAGTAGGAGTGTTTATACTGTCCGAGTTGAGAATAGGATTAAACCTGGAGCTTCTGCAATGGCAGCCTCCAGTAGGATCATGTGGTCAATCTCCCCCTACTACCTTTCTACACAGTGACTTCAACTTTAGCAGCACAGGACTCCAGACCACAAGACCATGCGTCATTTGTCGCTCGACTACACACTCACTACACACACACACTACATTAGGCTATATATACCAATGTATAATATGTTAACATGTCGATTCCACTCAAACCGTCCTTGGCCATGTCCACACATTAGTAGCATCAAAGCGCATATCATTTACATAATGTGTTCAGAAATGACCAATGTGTATGGGAACTGATCAAAAAAAGGTATCACTTAAAACAGTGGTTCTCAACTGGTCTGGCTGCAGGACCCACCATCACCCCTTAATGACAAGCCGCGACCCAAATCAGAGAGACAGCGAGATCCTCCTTGTGGCAAGCGTCAGTCAGGTGTCAGGACTGTAGCACCTCAGTGACTAGTCAGTGGCACTTCAGTGGCAAGCGTCAGTCAGGTGCCACAACAGTGGCAAGCGAGCGGCACTCATTTGGCACCTGTCAAGAAGCTGCCGAGCTGAGCAGGCGGAGCAATATTTCCTGAGAACACCCATTGTTATTACGATAGAATTTTGATTAAACTATATTACGAACTGTATTGCATCAAACCATCCACAGATTAATCGAAAACTTGATTCTTGTTGTGTACATGGATAAATGAATATTAAATCGCATGTAGTCAACTATTGTTGCTAACATACTCCCATCGGCCCACGTTTATTAATTTATATTTATTTATTTTTCTCCTAATGTTATCTCCCTTGTATGTGCTTGCACCATAGACTAACAGTGTTCTTGCATACGGTCATTCTATTGCCTTGACCTTTATTTTGACATTTTTTTACTACCGGACTACTTGTCTTGCTTTGCGTCGCTCTTCAAAATAAAAAGCAAATAAACCATAAAACAGACTATCAAAACGTATACGGACCAGGGGGGCACACTCCCCTGACTACTGGTGGCACTCCTCTGACTAGTGGTGGCACTCCTGTGGCACCTACATATATGCAGAGGAAGAGTGCCGCTCGCTTGCCACTGTTGTGGCACCTGACTGACGCCTGACTGACGCTTGCCACTGACTAGTCACTGCGGTGCCAGTGCCACAAGGACGATCTCGGCCTTGCTGCCAAATCAAGGAAAATGTTCAACTTCTCAAATGTATTTAATGTAAAGATGGTGCAGTTTGAACCTGAGCTGAAAATGTCCTCTGCAGTCGTAGTATAGGGAGCTCTCTTGTGCAGAGAAAATTGTTCCTGTAAGTCCCCGTTCCACACATGTTTCAAGTAAACGAGTAAAACTGCTTTGTTTGTTATGTCTGTAGATTCGTCCATTTGTAATGCAAAATGACCACTTGCCAAAATTCGAGCTGTGGTCTGTTTGATGTCATCCGACATGTCTTCAATTCGTCTACTTATAGTGTCATTTGACAGAGGTATAGTTTTCAGTTTATCCTCTGCTGATATTAGCATTACAAGGCATTAACACCATATATTGTTAAGGAGTGTGAATAGACGGCACTCCGCTTCATAAAAAAATCCCTTTCAAAATAAAAGCACAGGATTTTTTATTTTATTTTTTTCAGGCAAAGGCCCGCGACCCACTGAAAACAGGTCCGCGACCCAACAGTTGAGAATCACTGACTTAAAATGTATCATTGTGGCACCAAAAGACGCAGAGTCAAATTTTGGGAGCAGCTTAATTAAGTAACTCCTAAATGAAAAAGTAAGGCGCATCACTGCAACTAGGGTGTCACGGGACATAATGAGGACTCAAATGCAGATAGTCAGAGTAGTGAACAAAAAGGGTTTTAATAACTCACGAAACAAAAACAGGTAATCCAAGGACGAGACAAGGGGGGAAATCCGGCAGGACAAGGCAGGGCAAAAACAGGGCAGACAGACTGGGAAACCGGGAACAGGAAGAGCAAAACGGGCGGGTAGGTAGGAAACAAAACAATGATCTGGCAGTGAGTGAGTGAAAGACAGGGGTTTAAATAGTGACTAGAACAGGTGAGGAGAGTTGTGCTGATGAGGGAGAGTGTGACTGGCAGGTGCACTGAATGAACTGATTAGGGACAGGTGAAGGAAGTGAGGAGCTACAGAAAACCACACACAAAACACCCAAGGCAAAGCCTGATTGTGACATAGGGTAAGAAGTTCGTCCGGAGCCCTAATGCATGAAAACCAAAATACATCAGGGGGCGCAAAATATAATGCACAGAACCAACACATATAAAAGGGGGACAGAATACTCCCCACCCGGCCTCGCCCTGCACCAGAACTGACTACAAGCTTTCCTACAGTATCACTGCCAGTTCTCTTTTCGGAGATATAGAACAACCACTGCTATAGGTCTCTGAAATGTCCTCTTTATCTCCACCGTAACTCTCCCATCTCTTCTGGGGAAGGCAGAAGTGATCACAGCCATGGGCCACACGTTCTGTGCAACTTGGCTGTCTTTCAACAGCATGACATTCCTTCCTGTAGTTTGCAAAGTCAGTGGGTTCTCCAGCATCCGTGAGAGACCTGGCCAAGTGAATGAGGAATGCTACAGCTTTTACCAGTGTGCTGAAGATGGAGAAGCGCTGAATGCCTTCTGTGGTGAGATTTCTCTTCAGTCTTTTTAATAAAGGGTGAATCTGTACATCCCTTCGGGTGGATGTAGTTTGCTGGATGGAGCAATGCATCCCAGTCACACATGTCTCAGCTCATTGTTGAGACAGACACCAGAATCATGAGCACTGGAATCAAATACAACACCCATTTGACCAGCTTGTGCCATCAGTACGATACAAACGCTAGTAGGTACTGGAAACCAGGAGCTGGGTCTGCATGGTACGCCTCAAAAATCTTTCCTATCAAAGTGATGAACTGCTGGCTCATCTCAGGCTCTCAGCCAAAGTTATTATGAGGAGAGACGTGTACATTGTGAGGGCTTGCTTGCAGTTTTTCAGCAAGCACTGTCGGGGCACTGTGTCGAGCAACCCAACTGTCTGTCTCATCCTTGTAGAGTTCCCTATCCATAGTTTAAAAAAAAGTGTCTTCAATGGATGGTGCAAGTTTGTTGCCTGACTTGCTCCCGGAGTCTGCCCTCCTTTAGTTGTATGAAGCTGTCTCATGGGTTCAGAATGGTTGGACCCTTTCCCAGCACATTGGAATTGAATGTACTCACAATTTGCCTATATGGACTTCCCAAACACACCAACACTCACCCAGATGTATTTTTTCCTCAAAAGGAGCACCTCGACAGCAAGATAAGTATTTTGGTATCTGGGTGAAGCTTTGGAAAGTGGACAACTACGTTTCTCAGGATAAGGATGGTGACGAGTGTGAAGCCAAGGCTGGATTATAAACTTGGGAACACTAAAGCTCCAGGTTCATCGTGTGTATCGTTTGAGGAAATGTAATCAATTGCAATTAAAGGAATATGGACAACTAAATCCCAATATCAACTGAAATTTCAATGACTCTGAGTTCGCAAGCTATTCCTATATAAACCTGTTTGATTTGTTTCATGGTATACTATGTATTAGCATTGTCGGTTGCTGTTTGTAAACGTCAGCCCTCCTCTCTGGCTCAACGAGCGAGCGAGTGAGAGAGAGGGAGAGAGACTGGAAGGGGCGGTCGAACAAGCCACAGAGTGAACAAAGAGAGGGGCCGTCGTTGGTGACAACAAAGCAGTGAATCAGAAGAATAAAAGGTTCTAAAGCACAAATAAACACGCCCACACCTCTGCACAACTTGCGGGAAGGTGCCGAATTTTGAATGAATGCAGCACAAGGCGCGTTTCATCCTGCCGTGGCCTGTCTGCTGTCTCTGCCTGTGGCTCCGCTCGGTCACCGACACAGTTTGACAGCAGCACAAGAGAGAGACGGACGGAAGAAACACATTCACACAGAAGCACATAAGAACACAGAGGGGTGTAACAACCCGCGCGCCACCGCTTTGTCTCATACAGACACTGCAGAGTGCCACATACCTGGTGCCACTGTGTTTGACCTGGGAATGACAACAGGCTGCACATCCTGCTTATTGGCTGGGGGTTACAACCCCAAGTGAGGCCTAAATGCTCTTTGCTGACTCCCAGAAACATCCCAAACACAGCAAAATAAGTAGAAAATAGAAATTCCAGCAGGGCTCTCTGTAGAACCAGACACCACCACATACTTGTATGGGTCATAATCCATCACCAAGAGGGATTCTTTTTGTTTCAGTCCATACATTGTTTTTTCAAGAAATTGTTGCAAATTATACACAGAAAGATGGTGAGGGTGGGACGGGATGTCTAAAGGACCCATGGCAATTCTTAGTCCAGGATTTCCAGGTTTGGGTTTGCGCTTAGTCTGTTTCCTATTTTATTTTGAAAATTCCCTCTACCGATGTTTCATGTCTAACTTCACTTGCTGTCTTTGTGTTTTTCTGCCTTTGTGATTGTCAGCCCCGTCCTGATCTGTTCAACCTGTCTATAGGTGTAATCACCCTGCTCTCCTTGTGTTTATTTATTCATTCATTTATTCAGTATGCGTTCCCTCTGTCAGTGTCAGGTGGTCTGTGTTAATTACTGGTGCTCCTTAATGCCACGCTGCTCGTGTTTCTCGTGTCATTCTAGTTTGTCCTCAATTTAGTTTTTTGCTCTTTTTCCGTTGCACTTTGTTTTGCCACCAGCTTTTAGTTATGAAAGCTGGCCTTTTGTTCATTATACCTGCCTGCCTGGTGTCTTGCATTTGGGTCCACCTCTAAACTCTGAAACCATAACACAGGGTCCCTCAAGGGGGTCATGTTTGAGCTGCAAAATGTGTGAAAGCTGCACTTATCAAATGTTTTAAGTATAACAAACTAAACGACTAAGGGTAATGAATATAAGTCACTCAATGATGAAGCCACAGAAAAGTGTCACCAATGGATGAACCAAAACTCTTGTCTTTGTTTTCATTGTCATTATTGTGTTTAAATAAAGACTTGATTTAAAATATATCTTTAAAAAAAGCTTTTCTAGGCTGTACTTTTGTCATTCATGTTAAAGTTGGTGATTAAAACTCCTTCATATTAGAGTGTAACTGTCAGATTTTTAATCAAGGATATAATGACTTTGTTGTGAACCTGACCTGGTACTTTGTGCCATCTCCTTACTCCTAATTTACGCTTGTACATTCTTTATTATATATTCATAAAGTCTTGTTTTCATACAGAGTTGCAGTCTATATCAAGCTATAAAATGTGTTGTTTCTTAATACACAATTTGTTGGAAGTAGTACACACATCCAAGCAATTGTCTTTAGAAAAAAAGTCTGTGGATATGACTACTGCCACCCTGATGGCCCACAGCAGTCTATAAAAAAAAGAGCCTGTACTTACTGGTCACAATCACAGTTTTCCCATGCAGCTTTGTTTTACTTGTGCACCGCTTTCCCTTCACCACCACATGACGGTAAATGTAAGCAACTCCTAAGATAACACCCACGACCAGCAGAAGGGTAGACATTGTTAAGCCCCAGTTTCTCACACCAGACTGGCTGCCAGGTGAAAGTCAGAGTGAATTTGTGCTTTGAGAGAAACTTCCTCAAACAATCACACCTATTTCCTGCCTGAGCGGGACAATGTGCTCTCTGTTATCAGGCGACAGATACGTTTGAGCAAGTTAGAATAACGTATTTCAACTTTTCTCTACATAAAGGAAAGCTCAGAATTCAATCAAATAATACAGCCCATATGGTGGTTTGTCATCATGGCCATTAGCAAATATATGTGTTGTGAAATCACAATGTCTTGCAAAAGAGTTAAGCTCTTCTCCCTCACCCAGTACCATCTAACAGGAAAGCAGCACCACCTGCAGTTTCAGACCTGCAAATGTGAATCTGCTATTTTCACTGCTTCTTATTTTATTTTATATTTAATTACTTTATATGCATCTATGTGACTCTATTTGATTGTAGGATCTTTCAAATAATTATGATGGCATATGCAGCAGGATGGGGGATAAGTATATCAATATCCATAAGAAATCTCAGTAAAACTTAAAGCTTGCACTAATCAACAGTTTGATTTTGGATAATATGACACAAACGTTGATTGACTCTCATCGCTCTGCTCAATCATGTTTTCAGGACAAAAAAACAAACAGCTGACAGACACATTTAGCTACATGGTGACCATTGTGGAGCATTTAGCAACTAAAGAGCAGGATATTTATTTCTCAGAAGTTGGTGTAGACCAAAAAGGAGAGCAAATAATGGACTGACACGGATCACGCATGGACAGAAAAATTACTACAAATAAACTGTGGATGTTAGGATGATGGGGCTTTTAACATGATATGGAATTTTTTTTAAGTTTTGGTTTAAAGTATATTGGACACCACTTGTGCAGAAAAAAGCTAATGCTCCTGGAATATTCCATAAACATTCCCGTTTGGTTATACTCCAGTCCCGTGGGGGCAACCGTGGCTTACTGGGTAGAGGGTTGTCCGCCAACCGAAAGGTCACCGGTTCGATCCTCGGCTGCACCGTGTCCTTGAGCAAGACACTGTACCCCTAACTGCTCCCCGGGCACCTGTCATTGGCAGCCCACCCATCCCTATATATATACAGGGATGGGTCAAATGCAGACAATATTTCCCCACTGTGGGACTAATAAAGGAATGTTTCTCCTTCTTATCGAAAGGTTTTTGAAGAAAAACTTTCTGGGATCCTTCAGGGAATGTTCCCTGAAGTTTGGCGCTCGTGATGGCCCCCGCAATCCACTTTTCCGTTAACGATTCCTCAACTGGTCTAAAACAAATCTGGAGACTTGGATTTTGGGTCTCGTTGTTAGAAGGCTACAAACAGTCACACAGCAGCTCTTTGGCATGTTGATGTCACATAGAAAATTATCAACATGTGCCGCTTCCGGAGCAATTCTCTGCTCAAGAGTTACAAGGTTACAAGGTTCCTTTGTCATTGTACAACAGGGTTGCAGTCTGTTGTCCACTTCTGCTACATAAGAAAATACACCCAACAAAAACAAAAAAACAATATCATATGTGGAGGGAGGAGGATGGATTTAGAAGTCTCACAGCCAGAGGAAACAAGCTGCTCTGAAGTCTGGAGGTTCAGCAGCTGATACTTGTGTATCTCTTTCCAGATGACAGCAGGGTGAACAGCTTGTGTCTTCAGATATCCTTCAGCTCCTCACAGGCTCCTCTTGTCACCAATACCACTGATGCTCAGTAGATGGTACCAATGATGTTCTGGTTGGGTTAAATCACCCTCTGTAGAGCCTCCTGTCCTGAGCCATACACATCCCATGTTAGTTTGTAATGTTTCCAGTCAGGATGCTTTCTATTGCTCCTCTGTAAAAGTTAACAAGAACTTGGCACAGGAATCTGGCCTTCTTAAGTTTCCTCAAGAGATACGGACGTTTATTTTTTTAACCAGGATGGAGATAAGTGATGACCATGTCACGTTGTTTGTGATGCTGTTTCCCAAAACATAAAATTGTTGTGTCATATGCAAGCTTCACAACAGAGTTCTCTTCATGTTGGGGGTTGCAGGTTGAATACATGTAGAATACAAACCATACAGTGTGCCTTGGATTGTTTTTTAAAGGAGAATTTCATTTTATACTTTTTTGAGTCCATATTCCACCCAACCAATGAGCTCTTTGCAAGATTAAATACACCTGAAGGATCCATAGAGCACCTGTATGTGATTACCACAAAGACCCAGCAGCGCTTCTACTCCATTGCCGTCAATATTTGTGTGATTGAAATATGGAATGCACCCTGTAATATGTGTAAAATATGAAAGAAAATCATCTGCACAAAATATATGCTTTTCCTTTCGCATCACAACCAGGCTACAGGCTAGCAGAAAAGAGAAGCAGTAGCCTACATGCAAGGCTTCGTAGCAGGTACACTAGAAAGGTCTGGCTAACACCTGACAAAGTTAGGAAGGATGAGAGCACCATAATTCCATATGAGAGAGGTCAATTGATATTGCGAAGATGATTTGAGTTTATTTTTTGGGGAGTATTCCTCCTGTTAACTGTTTTTTATTGGTTATCAGGGTACCCACAATTTATTTGAAGTATAATTTCATTTAATTCACTTAACAGGTCGATTTGAAATTCAGTTATATGTAGGTAATGTTTATATTCCAAGAATATAAACATTACCTACATGTTTGTGTATGTGTTACTTGTATGGCTTCCACCACCAGGTTGTGCCTTTGAGTAGGTTGAGAGAGTTTTGTTTTGAGGGAGAGTGCTGCCAGTAAACCGGCTGCACATCCGGGCAATTTGGCACAGTCAATTTACATCCCCTCGATTGTTATTATAAGTATCTGACATTATGGAAAGAGTCCTGCTGGAGGAGAAGTCTCGTTCTGAAATTTGCGGTGACATGTTGCCAAAGACAACGGTGCAAACGCAAGTGCCGGCCAGGAAGAATTTTGTGTTGGAGAACAGAAAGAGTTACTTATCTATAAAGACTTTTAAAGTCATGTCTAAATATTTACATGATTTCAAGAATCTAGATGAGGTCTTTCAATCTGATGGCCACCTGTATTTAGTAAAAGAGACAGAGGGGGCAGAGGAGGGAGAACCAGCTGCTGCAAGGCCGCAAAGCTCAGGAGACTAGCGGTGTTCCTGTTGGTGCTGTGACCCATGACCACAGAGGAAGAACGCTGTAAAAAGTGGGACCTGTTGCTGCCCGATAGTCACATTTCACAACGAGGCCTCTCCTTGAGCCAGACTTGGACACAAAAGCAAACAGACCGTATTAAGAAAAAAATGTTTTATTTCTCTGCACTTTGCTTTGTTATTATGTTGTCAGACCCTTAAAATAACGATCTGAGCCTGTCTGTGGGAAAAACAAGCACTCAGTGAATGCAGTGTTACATTGACACTGTGCAGTGGCCCTTGCTGCTTGTTTCAGCTTCATCTCTCAATACTGGACCAATTTAAAAAATGATTGTCCCCATTAGTCACTTAGACACAAAAGCATGCGAAAGGGTCCAAACTGAAAAATACTGAAGTTAACCTTATTCCAAATTGCAAGTTGACTCATCTTGATCTTTACCTCACTATTTGTTTACTCAACAAAACAAGGTCCAGAGGCATCTCAAGAAATACACATTTTCTATTACATGTTTTATGTTACACTGAACTTGCCTGTGTGGGTGACCAAACTAAGACGTCCTGATGTTTTTTTATTTAATGCGTGACGACCCCTACTCTCCACTGACTGTTCCTGTCTGCCCGCCCTCCCATGTCTTTCAGGATGCTGATCGTCAGCTGATGAACCACACCTGAGCCTGGGGTGGTTCCGGGTATAAAGATTCGTAGACGGTCTCTTCTTTGGCTGACACAGCCACTGTTCCATTTTGTTAGCGCCAGACATTTTCACACATGCTGACATCACAACATTAGCTTCTTTAACTTCTGTACTATATTGTATTTCACAGTGAAATTGAATAGTTCAGTGGTGTACGATTACAAGAGGGATTTAAATCAAATTATTTGCATTTGTTTTGACCGACAAAAATACTCATGTGCCAGTGCCACCTATTATGGTAACATTGGGCCTGCTCACAGAAATCAATGTGAAACTCAAAAGAACAACCGTAATATGTTTGAATGTCAGATTAGTGTAAGGGGGCCGTTCACATGTAATGTTTTTGTGCCCTGAAGTCCATTGCTGTCAATATAGACATGCAGAATGCGCTCTCAAAAGCAAGAGCTATGCTGTTGCAATGGGCAAGAGTTCACATGCGTTTTTTCAGGACGCAACAGCTGCATCCAGAGATAAAAATAGTTCCACTTTTGGAATGCACCACATGTCATGTGACATGGAACAACCAATTACAGCTGGCAAATATATTTTCTTTCTGTAAATTTCAGTCTATGATGAATATATGGGGGAGAAGTTAATTCTTATAGGACAGGATTACCCAAAGTTTTACCAACTGACCCACAGACTATTTGACTTACTTCGGGATGAAAGGTCAGCCAAACTGACACAGACAAAGCAAGCTGTAAAGCTACAGTTCGGGATGTAAAGTTAATTTATCTTTGTTTTGACTTTGTTTAATTTAGTCAGTGAGGCTCACTGCTAAATTATCTCGACTGAATCATCATCGTCATTGCAGCATGCAGATTTTGGTTGCTAAGTAACAGCAGGTTCAACAGTAGCCCAACCCCCAAGCACCTTGGATAAAAGGATGAAAGCGTCACGGCTGGCATTTGGTCAGCGATGAGAGACAAACGTTACAGTAGAGAAATGGCAGAGCGTACATATTTTTGACATCACAATTTACAATTAATCTGACATTGGACATATAGGCTACTTTGCATGAGACTAACGTGCCTGAGTGCATAAAAAAGCATCAAAATAAGATAGTTTATCAAAGACTTGACCCCCTTAAAGACGGCTAAGCCCCAATGTTTGTATTGTGTTTACTTGCATCGCCCTGCTCGTTCAACATTGCATCTATTGTGCAGCAGTTGGGCCCGCTCA